AGTCAGCAGGTGGGTGCCATATCTCAGACTCTATGGACAAGGCTAAAATCATTTGCTCTTACCTGGAGATCCCCTGAGGCTCCATCCCACCAAACTTATAGGCCACTCAAGCTGTTAAGAGTGGCTTTTCCATATGAATGACTGGGCTTGGCTCGTGCTTCAAAACTTCCTAAATCGTCTCAAACAAGCAACAGCTGACCTTAGTGAGCCCTCAGCCCATATACCTCCTGCTAAGTGGCTCCAGGTCAGGCACTAGCAGTAGCCAGCCTAGCTAAACAGCTTAGCTTTCCCTGGAAACCTCTGATCACAACACAAGTGGCAGCCATCTCCGATTGCTTTATAGCTCAATCTGGATGGCCCTGGGCAGAACACAGATGGGGGCTGACCTTGGCCTGCACCAGCTGGAAAACCCTAGAGCCTGCTCATCCGTGGACAGCCATAGACCATGTCAAAGCACCACCACCATGCCCCTGAACAGCTGGTCCTCCACAGAGGGTAGAGGTTGGTGATCAGTGGTCATATCTAGTCCTCACAGCAAACTGGCCTGGATGTATCCCTTCTGTTGACCTGCCAAAAACAATCAAGGCTCAACTATAAGGGTGTACTCAACACACACAAAAGGCACACCTGAAGTATTCAGAATGGGTGATAGGGTAGGCTGTGCCACTGGACCCTACAAGACACCTACAACATTAGGTCATGCTACCAAGACAGGGAGTCATACCAGCTCTACCTACTACAGAGAAACAAAGACAGGGAGGTTGCCAAAATGATAAGATAAACATGGCCCAAATGAAGAACAGATAAAAACTCCATAAAAAGACCTATACAAAAGGAAGATAAGCAATCTATCAATGCAAAGTTCAAAACACTGGTTATAAGGATACTCAAGGAACTTAGTGAGTATATTAACAGCATGAAAAAGATCCAGTCAGAAACAAAATATTCAAAATTGAAATAAAGAAAAATGTACAGGGAAACAACAATAAAGTGGATGAAGCATAGAATCAAATCAGTGATTTGGAACATAAGGAAGCAGACAACAAGCCATCAGAACGACAAGAAGGAAAAAGAGGCTAAAAAATCAAGGATAGTGTAAGGAGCCTCTGGAACAATTTAAGCATTCCAACATTCACATCATAGGGATGTGAGAAAGAGCAAGAAATTGGAAATCTATTTGAAAAAAAAATAATGAAAGGAAATTCCCTAATTTGGTGAAGGAAATAGACATGCAAGTCCAGGAACTACAGAGAGTTCCAAACAAGATGGATACAAAGAGACCCACTCCAGGACACACCGTAATTAAAATGCTAAAGGTTAAAAGCAAGAAGAGAATTTTAAAAGCACCAAGAGTAAAAGAGTTAGTTACCTCAGGGGAGTTCCCATAAGACCGTCAGCTGATTTAGCAAAAGGAACTTTGCAAGCTATAAGGGAATGGCAAGAAATATTCAAAGTCAAGAAAAGCAGGGACCTACAGCAAGGTTGCTCTACCCAGATCACTATCATTTAGAATGAAGGGCAGATAAAGAGCTTCCCAGACAAGAAAAAACTAAAGGAGTTTATCATCAACAAAATATTATTATATGAAATATTAAAGGGAAATATTTAAGAAAAAGAAGATCAAAGCTGTGAACAATAAACGGCAAAAAATACATACCTATCAATAATTGAATGTAAAGAGCAAACTAAACAAACTAGAAGGACTGGGACAGAGTCATGCAGAGCAGTTTGATGGTTGTCAGATGGGAGGGTATGTGGGGGAATGGGTGAAGAAGTGAGGGGATTAATCAGTACAAATTAGAGACCTCCAGTCGAGATGGAGGCATAGGTAAACTTGCCTTGCCTCCATTCACAAATATAGCAAAAAACACAGCTATACTGCAAAACAAATATCACACAGATTTGTCCGAAAATTGAGTTGTGTGGAAGTCTGAAAACCAAGGATTTAAAGAAGCCACATTCATCCATACAAGTAGAAAGGGTGGTGGTGCAGAGAGTCGTGGAGAGATGTGGAGATGTGGAGTGGTGCAGAAAGGCACAGAGATGGGAATGGGAAGTCTCGCATCCATGTGTGATGGGTAAAAAATGGGAGGGACACCTCAGGAATGAGGGATCCCAGCCCCAAGTCAAATCACCCAGCCCAGGGGCCTAGTGCCAGCAAGATAAGTCCCCATAACTTCTGGCTGTAAAAACCAGTAGAGGTTGGAGCAGTGGGAGAAATTGCACCCTTTTAAAGAGTGTGTGGCATACTTAGGACTTATGCAGAGTCACACCCTCTGGGATTCAGCACCAAGGCAACATCTGGAAGGGCACCAGTGGCATATGGAGAGAAAGTGAAGTGCGATTGGAGAGACAGCTTCCTCCTGGGTAAAACTCCAGAGGCCAGGAAGTGGTAATGTCCCCTCTGTGGGTCTGCCCCCACACTGCAAAAGAGTGGTGACATGGGTTGCTCTGCCTTGATGATTACCTAAGGCTCCATTCCATACAACTTAACAGATGCACTAAGACAGAGAGTCAAAGCAGCTCTACCTAATACACAGAAACAAAAACAGGGAGGCTGACAAAATGAGGAGACAAAGAAATATGGCCCAAGTGAAAAAGAGAACAACACTCCAGAAAAAGAACGAAACAAAATGGAGATAAGCAACCTGTCAGATGCACAGTTCAAAACTCTGGTTATCAGGATGCTCCAGGAACTCATTGGGTATTTCAATGCCATAAAAAAAGACCCAGGCAGAAATGAAGGTTGCATGTGTTAAGTAAAATAAGGAAAAATCTACATGGAATCAACAGTGGAGAGGATGAGAATGAGAATCAGAACAGCAGGAAGAAAAAAAGAACTAAAAAAAAACAAACAAATAAGGATTGGCTTAGGAACCTCTGGGACATCTTTAAATGTACCCAAATCTGAATCATAGGGATGCCACAAGTAGGAGAGGAAGAGCCTGAAATTGAAAACTTTTTTGAAAAAATAATGGAAGAAAACTTTCCTAAGGTGGTGAAGGAAGTAGATAAACAAATCCAGAAAGCACAGAGTCCTAAACAAGATGGACCCAAAGAGGACCACACTAGGACACATCATAGTTAAAATGCCAAAGGTTAAAGATAAAGACAGAATCTTAAAAACAGCAAGAGAAGTGAGTTACCTACACAGGAGTTCCCATAAGACTGTCAGCTGATTTCTTAAAAGAAACACTGCACCTTAGAGGGACTGGCAAGAAGTATTGAAAGTGATGAAAAGCAAGAACCTACAACCTAGATTACTCCATCCAGCAAAGCTGTTTAGAATTGAAGGGCAGATAAAGTGCTTCTCAGACAAGGTAAAACTGAAGGAGTTCATCATCACCAAGCCATTATTATATGAAATGCTAGAGGGAATTATTTAAGGAAAAGAAGAAAAAGTGATGAACATTAAAATTGCAATAAATTCACAACTATCAATAATTGAGTCCAAATAATAAACTAAGCAAACAAGCAGAACAGGAACAGAATCATAGATATGGAAATCATTTGGAGAGTTGTCAGTTGGCAAAGGGGGAAAATGCAGGGAAAGGTGCAGGGATTGAGAATCACCAATTGGTAAGTACAAAATACGTGGAGGGATGTTAAGAACAGGATAGGTAGTGGAGAAGCCCAAGAAGTTATATGCATGACCCATGGACATTAACTAAAGGGGGGATTGCTGGAGGGAATGGGGGTACCGGGTACAGGTGGGCGAAGGGGAAAAATTGGAACAACTGTAATAGCATAATCAATAAAATACTGTATATTAAAAAATAAATAAAATGTACAAAAAGAAGTACAAACTGGGAGTTACAGAATAGCCATGCGGGTGTACAGTACAGTACAGGACATGGAGTATCCATGTAGAACTTATGTGCATGACCCACGGACATGAACAATGGTGTGGGGATTTCCCGAGGATGTGGGGGGTGCTGAGGGGAGAGGGGCAAAGCGGGGGATAGCAAAATCAAGATAAATTAAGGTAAATTATCTTAATTTAAATTAAGATATAATTTAAAAGGGAAGAAAAGAGAAACCACCCACCAATGTTGTTGGATGGCTTTAAGGCAAATCAGTTAACACTATCAACTTTAGTTTGCTTGTCTTCAAGTAGATAATGACAATACTGACCTTGACCAGTAGTTATACATATCAGGGATAATATGGTAAATGACCACCACTGTGTAGAGACTGCAGGTAAAGTAACTGTTATGATTATTACTACTCTTCTTATCTACTCAGATGATAGGAAGGGGCTTTCCAATGAATTTGCAAGAAGTGCAAATCCTACCTCGCTGTACAATGGTTTAGATCATGGGCTATATGAGATTAATACTACTTCCTAGCTATGAGATATTAGAAAAGTTTATTTAACTTCCTGTGCCTCAATTATTTTAGCTGTAAAATATGGATGATGTTACCTTTTATCACAAAGAGTTCTAGGGGGGATTAAATGAGATAAACTAAGTACCACTTAGAACAATGTCTAGCATACACTAATCACTTAGGACGAGTTCTCTATTTTCAGGTGTTATCTTTATTTCGTGAATACTGAAGCTGAGGTTCATGATTTGCCATGTTAGTAGGTGGCGTAGGGGGTGCTGAAAGATCTTCTCTCCCTTCTTTTCTTCCTTGTTTTCTTTCAGCCTTTTCTTTCTCATATGTCTACTCATTGGACTGGATTAATACACAAAAATTCCTGCCTAGTTGATTGAAATTTAGGACATCCGATTCCTTTTCTCTTTCTTTTCCCTACAGCACTACCTTCCTCCTTCTGCCAGGGCACCAGTAAGTACTCACTCACATACCTGGCTTCCACTGCAATGAAGTCATATTATACTTTTGTCTTTTGCCACTGTCCTACAACTATTAGCTTTCATGTCCAAAGTTCCAAGTTTTCTGTTTGAATCTTTATATTTGAGAAATCAATAGGGTTAAGGAAATAAGAAACAGTGCTTACATAAGTGTTTATTAGACTTTTCTTTATCATCTTTCAGGTCTTGTAGAAATTTGCCTGATGCACCCCCTCGATGTGGTGAAAACCAGGTAAGGTTCTGCATGAACAAGTTTTATTGACTTTGGCTGATACCCAAATTAAGGTCTGTCAGAACACTAAATGCTAGAACTTGTCCCAAGCCGGTAGCTTCTCCCAATAATGGCATTTGTATTTACTTCTTAAAGAAAATACTATTTGACAGATAAAATGTGAACAGTGAAAAGCATTTCTGGATTGAGGTCATCTCAAAGTATATAATATTTTACTGCCTTCACATGCAACCATGAGGTATGACTTGTGGCTAAACTGGTTAAGTGAGGTAAATTTATCAAAATGATGTAAAAACTAAACTTTGCCCAGTGAATTATTACAGCAGACTTTCATTTGGCATTGCACATAACAGATTGCTATTTAATAGTCAGCATTTTGGTGTGAGACTCCAAAATTTCAAGTAAACTTCGTAAATGGTGCTTAACAGATTTATTCTTATAACTGTTTGCCAATGCAAAATGCCATATTTCCAGGCAAAATGCATTTGCTACTCAAGGCAGATACAAATAAGGGCAACATATTAAATCTGTTTATCAAAAGAAAAAATCTTATGATTTTTAATATGGTCTGGCACATTTAAAAAAGTTAAACATGTGGCTGAACTGTGGGACTCTCTTTTTTTCTAATTAGAAGCTCTGAGAATGTAGTGCAAGTTTTCATGTGTTTGTATTGTGCAAAACCCAAGCACACTACACCTAGGCTGTAGCGTAATGGCAAAAAGTGCCATGCAACAGGAGGGGCGAACAAACCCTTACTGCCACAGTTAGGAAACACAGTCGTCCCCTTAGCCATGGTTTTGCTGAGGTTTTAGTTACTGACAATCAACTGCAGTCCAAAACTATTAAATAGAAAATTCCATAAATAAACAATTTACAAACTTCAAATTGTGCACCTTTCTGAGTAACATGATGAAATCTCACACTGTCCCACTTCGTTCTGCCCAAGATGTGAGTTATTTTTTTCCAGTATATCCACACTGTATGTGCAGTATAACAAGGTATTTTGAGAGAGAAACCAAATTCATGTAACTTTTATTATAGTATTTTTTGTACTTGTTCTGTGTTATTATTAGCTATTGTTATTAATCTCTTACTATGCTTAATTTATAAATTAGACTTTATCATAGGTAAATATGGATAGGAATAAACATAATATCTATAGTGATTGGTACTATCCATGGTTTCAGACATTCACTGAAGGTCTTAGAATGGATCCCCCACAAATAAGGGGGACTACTGTACTTAATGAGCTGGGCTGGTCAGTGAATAGACACACTGCTAATTTACCTAAAGAGGCCACGGAATCTTAGACTGGCCACTGAAAGCGAGGAAGGAGACTATGGTGTGCATATCATATTACAGTGCATGAGGGTTCCTCTTTCTCCACATCATTGCCAGCACGTGGTATTTGTTGATTTATTGATGATGGCCATTCTGACAGATCTGAGATATCTCATTGTGGTTTTAATTTGCATTTCTCTGATGACTAGTGATGTTGAGCATCTTTTCATATGTCTGTTGTCCATCTGTATGTTCTCTTTGGAGAAGTGTCTTTTCAGGTCCTCTGCCCTTTTTTTAATTGGATTGTTAGGGGGTTTTTGGTGTTGAGTTTTGTAAGTTCTTTATAAATTTTGTATACTCACCCCTTATCAGATATATTGGTGAATATGTTCTCTCATTCTGTGGGTTGCCTTTTTGTTTTCTTGATGATTTCCTTTGCTGTGCAAAATCTTTTTAGTTTGATGTAGTTCCATTTATTCAATTTTTTGTTTCCCTTGCCTGGGAGATATACCTGATAAAATATTGCTATGAGCTATGTCTGAGATTTTGCTGCCTATGTTTTCTTCTAGAATTTTTATGGTTTCAGGTCTAACATTTAAGTCTTTAATCCATTAGAATTTTTTCTTGTGTGTGGAATAAGAAGGTAGTCTGGTTTCATTTTTCTTCATGTATCTGGCCAGTTTTCCCAACATCATTTATTGAATAAACTATCTTTAGCCCATTATATATGATTGCTTCTTCTGTCAAATATTAATTGACTATAAAAATGTGGGTTTATTTCTGGGCTTTCTATTCTGTTCCAATGAATCTAGTGTCTGTTTCTATGCCAGTACTGTGTATTTTGATTACTATGGCCTTGTACTATATAGTTTGATATTAGGTAGCATTATTCCTCCAGCTTTGTTCTTCTTTCTCAGGATCGCTGTTGCTATGCAGGATCTCTTGTAGTTCCATATAAATTTCTGAAATATTTGCTCTAGTTCTGTGAAATGTATCATTGGAATCCTGATGGGAATTTTACTGAATCTTTAAATTGCTTTGGATAGTATGGACATTTTAATGATGTTAATTCTTCCTATCCATGAACATGGCATATGCTTCTACTTATTTGTATCTTCTTCAGTTTCTTCAGTGCCTTATAGTTTTCTGAGTACAGGTCTTTTACATCCTTGGTTATGTTTATTCCTAGGTATTTTATTCTTTTTGAAGCAATTGTAAGTGGGGTTGTTTTCTTAATTTCCCTTTTTGTTAGTTCATTATTGGCATATAAAAATGCATCTATTTTCTGTATTAATTTTGTATCCTGATACTTTGCTGAATTCATTCATGTGTTTCTAATAGAGGTAGAGAGGATGAGACTATGACCTTGCTCTTATCTCAGGCTCTATAACAAATACCATAGACTGGGTGGCTTAATCAACAGACATTTGTTTCTCACAGTTTTGGAGGCTGGGAAATTCAAGATCAAGGTGCCAGTCATTGTGATTCTGGTTTGGGCTGTCTTCCTGACTTGTAGACAGTCACCTTGCCTTAGCCTCACATGGGAGAGAAAGGGGCTCTGATGTCTCTTATTTTTCTTGTAAGGGCACTAATCTCTTCATGGGAGCTCCACCCTCATGACCTCATCTAAGCCTAATTACATACCCAAAGTTCCACCTTTAAATACCATCACATTGGGGGTTAAGGCTTCAAAATATGAATTTGGGAGTTTGCACACATTCAACCAAAGCAACCTCAAGTCACCAAACTAAAACAGAGAAAGAACAAAACCACAAATTATATTTAAATATAAGATGCATGCACTCCCTGGACTATCTTTTTATAGGGTTCAGAAACAAAAGGCAAAATTCACTGGCATTTCCTTTTTAGATTTCATATTAACCTTCTTTGAAAAGCCATAATATTTTTGCTCGTCTCGCTGAGGAATAAAAGTGTAACTTAAAGGCAATTGCCTAAATTTTTGAAGTGTTAGAATGAGCATGGAAGAGAAACAAGAATGATTTAAACAAGACATCTTATTTAAATTATGGTTATTTAGTCACCGAATCCTTCATTCATACATTCAACAAAAATGTACTGACTATTTAGTATGTGTGGGTTCTGATCTAGTTTTGCCCTCAAAGAGCTCACAACATGATGAGCCAATAAGAATATCATCACAATGAATTTCAAAAATTATTGTTCAGTTGATTCTTGAACAAAGTGGGGTTACGAGCGGCAACCTCTCACACAGTCAAAAATCTGCATATGACTACTGTATCATTTCTTTGTACTGGAGGTGAATAGGATAACTTTTTAAATAGATGTACAAAGCTACTGGTGCTTTATGTCCCCTTTTTCATGTAGATGTTTTCATGAAAATGGCTTTCATTTATTAGAATTAATCACAAGCCCTTGCCCAGCTTCCAGGGAGTTGGAAAATATAATCCTTCCAATTGCCCTAAAGGAGAAGAGAACTAGATACTGGCTGGTATTTGACCTCCTACTGAATAAAACCTCACAACCATAGAGTAAACTGAAAGTCCAATATATGTGTAACTAACTTTGCAACAGAAGTAGTATATGTAAGATTGGTAGGACTTATCACTGGACAGTAGCACACGGGTGATAGGAGTAGACACAACAGACTAAATAATGCTAAACTCTTTTCACTCATATGGTTTAGGACACTTCTAAGTAAAATAAACTGTACACTGTCAGAGATAATGAAATGAAATGATGCAGCACTAGTTATTTGAGCAGGTCACTTTTCTAAATGACATCCAAGGGCACTGAGGTCTAAAGTCATTGCAGACATTGACCAAGTGAGGCATGGTGTATACCAGGCCCAACCTCGCTTGCTTTACAGGGTTTTTGTGGGCTATTTTTGCCCTTCTTGGATATTTTTACTTCAAGGGTGATTCATTGAATTAACCTGAGTATAGAAATGGCTTGTTTTTCACGATACCTAGTATACTGGAGTATGGCAAAGTAAATGTGTTTATTTCTTAAAGTCTAGTCTTAAAGTCTGTGCATAATCCTTTTCTTTGTTGAATGAAAGATAACAGATTCTAAATATGTACTTCCAAATTCTTCCTTCACAGGGTTTTTTTTTTTTCATTATTTATTTCACTCTGTAAATGATTGCTTCTGTTACCCCAGGCTGGACTGATCAAGGGGAGTCATGGTGTTACCAGAGGCCAGGGGCCAGGTTACCCAGTAGGAGCTACAGCTGTGGCAAATCTGCCTAGTGAAAGCTGGAGGCTCAGAGGAGCACCAGCCACTGCCTGAAATTCACTGCCTGAGGCAGACAAGGAGGAAGAGAAATATTCTGGGTCTCTTCTTTTCCACGCTCTTCAGTCTCCCATCAGTGCTCCTGTATCTGAACGCATGGAAGCCTGGAAGCCCAACCTAGCGGAGGGCAGACCCCCCTATGTAACAGTGCAGAACGAAACAAGGGAGAAGTGAGAAATGGGTCTGAAGACAAACAGAACTAGGACTGACATATTGTGATTTTAGTGGGATTTGGAGAAAAAGCTGACATAAGCATGAATATTTTTATTGAGATATAATTGACATGTAATGTTATATTAGTTTCAGGTGTACAACATAATGATTCCATACATGTATATGCTGCAAAATGATACCACAGTAAGTCTAGGTATCATTCATCACCACATGTAATTAAAACTTTTCTCTTATAATGAGAGATTTTAAGATCTAGTCTCTTAGCATCTTTT